TTTGGTTATTTTCTGAAAGCTCGTTGATCGAATTGCAGCCATTTCATAATCATTAGAAAGAGGATGAAATGCTGCATCGAATGCTTCCAAGACCTCTTGGAAATCTTTGTTCCATCAAATGTGGCGCCTGTTTGAAAAAAGCGAAATTACTTTCGGAATGACCTAATATAAGAAGCCGACTTTTTAAAATGTTTACGATTTCGAAAATGCTGCTACCGAGTTCCGACCTCCCTAATAGAATGTAAATCCAAGCATTTGAAAGAAAGAGCACGTCTTAGCTCAACTTCGCTATAAACATGTACCTTGCACTGCAGCAGCTTTTACTCCGATAAGTGAATTGGGCAGAGTATACGTATCGCTCCATATTCCTCAATTTCATGTTGGTCTTTGCATTTTATAATATTTAATATTATCATCCGTGCAATTGAGCTTCCATTCAACTGATGGTCTCAATGAAACGTTTTTTGGTTTTGCGCGCATATCATGAGGCCAAAATGCAAATACCATTTCTATTGAAGCGAGCAGTTACGTAAATTGAGTCCTAAAATTCGCAAATGTCTTTTTAAGTCCGTTGTATACAAGTGGTATATGAATATACCTGCATGATCAAAGCCTTGAAATTGAAAAGCATATAAAGGAGGCTGAACTTCACCTACACTAAAGAAGCATTACAAGCTAAAAATAGCTTTTTTCTCATAACCAATGATAAAATTCCTTGCGCTTTTATTTCGCATAATTCACAATGATAGAGTCTGTTAGAAAACAGTAGTTAAATCGCTGGAGCTAGAAAAAAATGAGTCAAGAGAGACTGTCATATTTTGGTACTGGCATTTCTGTCAAGTTCTCCACAAAGTATATATGCTGATTACATTTTCTTTTGAGATAAAATGTGCACAGTTGTGTCCACACAAAGATCAAACACCCATTTACTTTCACTCAAAGACACTGTCCACCCAAAATGAGGGTTCACGAGATTCATGAAATGCTAATGTGGGCCCCACACTAGGCCAACCCCCGAGTTTCCCCACAAAAGATTGCTTCCCGAGCGAGAAATCCGCTCTGGAAAGTACGTGATACGTGATCCAGAGCTGGTCACTCCGCCCATTTTGCAGCTTTGGGGGCTGCGGCGCTGCGCCGGGCGATAACCGCGCCGCAGCCCTGCAAACTGCACTTCCACCCGTCCCGCTTTCTCCAAAATAGGGTTTTTTTGGGATTCTCGACTTCATATTCGAAATCAGGGTCTTCAGAAGGCCCGGAAGCGACAAAAACATGGAAGTCGAGAATTTGGATGAACGGTGCCTTTAAGAAGGCTTTTACATCGGAAATGGGCAAGAAACCAACAAAGGCAGACTAACTTTCTAAGTTTTGCAAAACTTTTTATGTTATGTTGCCACTCTTTCCTTCACTGATATTTTCTGACCCAGACCGATTTTCTTTAGTTTTTTAAGCCTTGTCGATATTGCTACACGATCATTCAGTGAGACAGGTCTCGGCTTTTGGGCAATTAACCGACAAATCTGTAACAAAAAACTATTTCATCGACAACCATACTTCTTCCCATAGAGAACAAATACATTCGGAACTACGAAATATATAATATGGAGAAAAATGAAAGTTCATAAAGCATAAAAAGAAGCCAAGAAGACTAATGTATAATTTTTGCAATTTGCTTTCTCTAGAGCTTCTCAGCCATGTTATGCGCAAGAACGAAAATGAAGAGACACAGCACATAGTTCAAGAAGAATGCACTCTATTCAAGTATCCAGACGCTGAAAAAGATCCAGACACTCTACATCTGTATGCAAAGAAGCGATACAAACAGAAAATTATCTAGCAATCAGCAGAGTCACGACATAGCTGTGCCAGATAGTGAAGCGATACAGCAGTACTTGTGTTGACAAAACGATATCATACTGTTTGCACTAGACGTTACCTACCACTTCGCTATGTAAAAACGCTACTTCGTGGCATAAATAGTCAAAGTCAGAATTTCTTTCTATTAAATCTATACCTTTCAACTTCTCCAAACTCGTCTTTTAGTTGTGTACATTGAATATGCATTCAAAACAATCTTACAAAAGGTCAGAACTTTGTCATTCCACAAAAAACTCAAAATCTCAAAAATGAACACTTCAGGCGGAGTGGGGGAGGGGTAGCATGCTAATTATCAAAATGGCGTCTCTTTCGCAGATAACAGTGAGTACAATTAGCGATGAATGAATAAGATTTGCTTCTACTTGCATTGGCGAGATTCAATGTTATCAATCCACTCGTAGAGACAGCATTTTCTGGCAAGTTACGGTAGGTGTATTGGTGTGATTTCTCCTTCACTTCACAAAACGACTCTAACAGATAGAGGTTATTGCGTAACTTGTAAAATGGGTCTATTGCCAAGATTAGGGAATTCCAAGATTTCTCCTTCTCTTCAAACGTACCCCGTATCAAAGGGTAAATGCTCACAAAACCAAAGTCTGCCCAGGACGAAGGGCAGAAGACAAGGGCGTGAACTGAATTGCTTGCAGCTCAAAATAGCTCACTGCAAAGACTTAGAGGAGAATAGGGCATAAAGCTTAAGCATAGTTCAAAGAATAAAATTTATAAATTGAATGCATCATTATGCAAAACCGCTGCTACGCAAATAATTGCACTTCTCCTGCTTGAAGTCATGCATTTTATGACGAGAATCGTCTCAAAAACCAGACTTCATTAAGTGAACGAAAGGCCAAAGATGCAAATTGAAAGTGATGTTGCAAGACTGATGAGGATAAGTGTGAATATTCAACAGAAAATAACTCCATCGGAGTATCACCGCTTGGCTAGCAGAAGATAAGGCAGAGAAGAAGATTGTAGTAAACCTCAAAAAATCTTTTCTGTCAGGAAATAAAAAATTTTTTTGCTTGCGTACAACAGCGCTGAAGACTGAAATAGCTTGAGCGTGTAGTTCAACCTATCAGGTAATGCCTCTTAACTCAGTGTGAAATTTCCTTTATTTGAACTAGCCATGACCGTTGCAGTTTTCCTATTAATTCTTGGTCCTAGCGAGCACAAGCGGATCCGGGACCAGCGAACCTCGAGGTACACTTTAGCCACGAAATTTAAGGTTTGACTTTCTGACTCTGGTGGATGTATGCGCTTTCACGACAAGCAAAAACTTGCAGGAAAGGGAACTTCTAAGGGCAGGAACGAAACGGAATTTTTGTTTATTTACACATTAAATTAAAAAACTTTATTTCTCATTATTGATGCATTTTGTGCCAAAGTATTATGCAAAAAGTAATTTTTCTCCATAAATCGGATGTAAAAGCAAATAATTTATTGGCGGTGCTGCCCAGAACAATTGCTCTAGTCTAGCAATACACATTAACGTTACAATATTGAGTGAAATTTGTTATCCTTGATAGTAGCGCTATAGGCAAATTGTAGTCTTGACTACAATAAGCATGCACAACTTGTAGCTGGACCCGAAAAATATTATCTATTCATGGCCGTGATACTAATACATACTGAGTGTCGCCATACTAGTACGGTTTTTTGTTAACAGCTCCATGTCAGCTACCACTTTTCCAGCTCTTACTCGAGTTAGCATGTGGGCAACTAATTAGCATTACAAAATCAACCAAATTTCTAATGTTTATCCCTCAAAACTGGCTAGATCGATACGCACATTGTACCAGTGGAAAGAGTTTGAAACTCTATATCAGGGTCGGCACAGGCACAGGGTCAGGCTTCATGTCGTTTTTGGGAAAATCAGAAATCAAAGAGTATATTGTTTTTGTGATCGAAAAGGCACAAGTTGCGACGTTTTTCAGTCGACGTTTCATTTTTTTAGGGTTTTAATTTAGGGTGTAAAGGGGACTTCGTACAAAATTTCCATGGTGCCAGCTCATGCCGAGCCCTGCTATTCCTACGTTAAAAAAAATTACAATGTTCCTTCATCTCTTTGAATGATCGCAAGAGCACTAATGAAATATAAACTCTGAAACTTCCACTTCCGCCTTGAGCTATAGACCGCATCTACCACTACGAAAAAGTGAAATGATGAACATTACTCGATTTTGAATTGCAGTTTGGAAACATTTGATTTTTTCGTTCGACTTCAGTTTATTTACGGTGAGGTGAAGTTTCAAGACTTTAAGGGAACAGCGAATGTCAAACAGTACATTTGAAACTCGTTTCTTACGCCAATATAAATTTTATTTTGCTTATGATTTGACTAACTGACATTGGTGAGTGAATAATGTTGATGATATCTAGTTCTAAAAGCGTAAAAAAACAACATCGTTTACTTTTAAACTTCTGACATCATTGAAATAGGGCAAAGACATAGGGGAGGAAATGCAAACAAGAGATGAGAAGAAACAGAGTTCAATATCTTGTGATCTTGATGTACAATTAGAATGAATTCTACATAGCAACCGTACCTGCATAAAATACGGTCATGAAAAACAAACCAAAAAACTTGTTCTTCCTACACGAAAGGGAATTGGCAATTGCCAAGACAAGATGGTTGAGTTATAGCATGAAATACAATAAAGTGATGGTGGTGCAAATTAGCCAATCAAGCACGATAGGAGCATTTACTGGGATTAATTTCAACCTAATAGATGTTTTTTGGAGTCGATGGGAGAGCAGTGCGTCTAGGGAGGATCGAAACATGGACTCACATCTGATAATTCCAAGGCTTTGCAAGAGGTGAAGTGAGATATAAATGCTATGAGATGAGAGTTTATAAAAATTTGAATAAAGCTTGAAACTTGGAGATGTAAATCCTAAACTTACATTACGTAGTTTTGAAAACTCTGGCACTTTTAAAAATGAGAATATAATGGGCAGTTAAACATGAGTTATGAGTAAACTGGCATATAGAAGAGTAATAGGTTTTTTGGAGAGAACCGATCAAAAAGGCAAAAAAAATCAAAAATTGAGGGCATCGACCTCCTCAAATGCTATGGAACGAGGAATCAAAGGATTACGAGGGAAGTTAAAGGATCTTGACTCACCCTTGTCTGACCTCGGACCGGTCGGAGACCCTCCGTCACTGATCCTCGATCGCCTCATTTCAGCCTGAAAATCGAATTAGTAGATGCATCGATAACACTAAGGAATTCAAGCATGAAAACAGACATTCCGTACAGTTTCAGACAGATAACTTGTCTTGCAAAGGTTGAAGTCTAACAATAAAGTTATTATGAGAAAAAGCATCAGAATCCCGAAAGAAATTTTCTGTTTTTTGAGAATCCCGTGATGGCTACGTTGATGCCGATTTTTCTCCTCATTCTGCTAATCATGCCCGCATTCCATTTTACTTCAAACTATGAAAGCTTGGCAGTCGTCGTTCCAACTACAATCAAAAATCGCTAATTTCCATATCATTTATACTAAACTCTTGAAAAAAATTTGTGTGATAAGCAGTGCGATAAACTAGCTTTTATCACAATCTTCGACGAACAAGAATTTGTAGTGCAGGATAGTAAAAAAGTACAATTATGCTAAAATATAATTACCAAGAGATATAATGTTCGCCTTTGTTTTGATGCAGGTATGGCCGCTAAACTGATTATGCCTAGTTCAAAAAATATTCCAAATTTGCAAAAAAGAAAAGAAATTCTTTTACTTCCTACACTCTCACCAGTTTTTGAGATAACCTAGTTTTTCCGATTTCAGACCCACAAACTTTTGAAGTGCTGAAGTGCTCAGTGTAGTCCCTAAATCAAAATACTCACCATGTCCAAATAGGGAATACAAAGTCAGGTTCTACTGAGCCTCGTAATTTTCTGAATAATCGCATAAACACCAAGTACACACTTTAAGTAATCCCGATTGTTGAACAAATGCCGACTTATGACTCTAAAATATGGTCCCGTGAGGGCTCAAAAGTGCACAAGATTTTCCAAGCGGAACTTTTATGAGCGAAAAACGGTGTCATGGAATGTCACTTTTTGCTTGTACATGTCATTTCTATTTTGACAAGCTGACAATACTGTCAACTAATATCAGTCTACTGTCTACCGAGTAGACAAACACAAACAACAGTCAACTTTTGGGAAGTGATTATCTACTATCCAGCGTTGTTCTATGTAGTTATATATTGTAGGTTCGATTTTATCAAAAGATTAAATCGAGCACTTGAGCTGCATGATATGACTTTCTATGCAAATTATATACTAAGAACGAACAAATATCAAAACGCCATTGGATCGATTCCGAACGATTTTAAAGAGTTGTCGTGAAAATTGTTAATGGAGAAAATGCTGTGACAGATAAAAAAAAACTGAAAAACTTTTAGAGGCTAAATGTTTTCTAGGTTAGGCAGCATTGCATGCTTTTTTGCTCCTAAAAAAATTCAACAGTTTTCTTTAACCTTTTAATTACTGAAGGCTATATATGTGACCTTGAATGGCAACATTATAAGTTCAGCACATTTTTGCAATTGGTTAGTCATATTCATCCTTGGCAGCTTGAACTTTATTTTGAGTCTTTTTAGCATGAAGAGCTTCATTGCTTGTGGAGAGACGCCTCCTTTTTGTGATATGCTCAGTTCATTTGAAAAGAAGGAGTTTGAAATGTTATTTCTTTCATTGCTCAAGTAAGGTAAATTACATGCAAAATGGAGCATGGTAAATATGCACCTTGGCACTCACAAAATTTTTATAGGAGTGGAAGGAAAGAAGGAGAATTTATTCTGAACAAATGTGCTTTGGTCAGCCGCCTTCGAGCGCAAAGGTTCTCCATATTTTTTGTTTTTGCATTCTTTCCAACTCTGAAGTCTCAAATATAAAGGTTGAGAAAATTCTTCGATGAGACCAATGTTTTTCCAAATCAGATAACAAAATTCGAACCATTATAGCTCATATAGACCGCCCTGAACAGTTCGCATGAGCAATGCATAGGCAATAATCTGACTTCAAAATTTCATATCAAAATTATTATTGAATAGCAGCATATGAAAAATCATGCAGGCAATGAAGGTTCAATTATCACCGCCCTTTTATCCGTGTTCGAAGAGAGTATGGCAAATTAGAACAATGGAGGGTAGAAGGACGGCTAGAATAAAAGAAAACGAAAACGTCAGAGTATGTAGAAAATCCTGGCAGAGAATGTTAGCCCATTGGCTTAATACTGCAGGATGGCTAATGAAGACGAAAGAGTGCAAGTAAACTTTTGCAAGCGCACCGATGCAGAGAGAGATTTCTAGTAAGTAATGCAGTCTCTATAAAAGCGCCATTTGCACCGGATTCAACAGCGAGATGAGGGCGGAGGAGGGGGGGGGGGACTATAGAAAGAGTTTACAGTGTTAAGGAAATAAGCATAGTACTCTCACATTGTGCCTGTCGTAACTCCGTCTCCTCCCTCATGCTCCAATTCAACCAAGGCTATACTGACGACTGTTAGTAGAAACTTGCTTTCAGCTTTTGAAATTTAAACTTTCAAGTTTGACAAGTCGTTCTGTATTGCTTGAAAAATCCTTCTGAAAAGCTGCTATTCACACTGATTGACATCCATTGCCCTATAAACTATGAAAAAATGCTTTGAAGGTTTCCAAGAAGCTTGAAGAAGCTTGCATAGCATGCATTCATAGAGATGTTATTTGGCGCAAGTTTGCATCCGCAATGGCTGAAAAAGGTATGAGAACAGGAGGAGGAAGCAAATCGTTTCCAAGGTAAGCAGTGACGCAACATTGAAGTGTCCGCTTTCAAGAATAAGCTAGTGGTTGCGCAAGTCAGAGCAGAATTGCTGAACATTCCAGAATAAAACTAAAATTTCACGTTTTGTCCGTTACAAAAAGCGGTTTTCATTTTTTATGACCTTCTGTGGCAAATCAACTTTACAAACTCAAATTCACACAACTGGAAATGCAGTTGCTTTGGCAAGCAAATGATTTTGGAAGAAAGTCAGTTTTTTACGAAGAAATATTCTCACCGTAGCGTAAAATGGTGGTTCTCTTCAACGTTTCAATGCTCTAGATATCACGGCAAATGTCAAATTTTGCTTCTCATCATGCTTATAAGCTTATGACAATAAAAGTACTTGCAGTTGAGAAAGGAAGCAGCCTTCGATGCATGATATAAAGTCAACTTAATTCTTGTAGTATAAGGATATGTCAGAGATATGATTTTCAAATGATAGCGCTTTAATTTATTCAAGATTTGGGACTCGAGAAAGTGATATTTGCTAGCTGCAGTCACTCATCAATGGAATTAGATTGCTTGAGAGTACTTGAGCGATTTTTGTTTTTCGGTTTAGCTATTGCAGTAAAACAAAAATGAGATAAAGCAACACTTGAAAAGAGAGCAGTCTAGTTTGAGCTGATGCGAACTGGAGTTTCAACAGTCTCATGTTCATTTTCCATTTTTGCAGTTTGCTCGATGTCATATCTTTAGCAAATTTCAAGAAAGAAGCTATGTTCTAAACAGAGAGAGAAGTTCAAGCTGCTTGAAAATGGTGACGGAATCATTCATAATTCATAGTGGAGAAAACTAGCTTTTATAATGAGAGCGTAGGCTTTTGCCATTAACACTTTTCCGTAGAAAATGAACTAAATGAGCTGAAGTATCCAGGCAAATGCGCTGCTGACATCATTTGGAAACTTTCAATGTGAAGTTTTAGGTTGATGTGTAAGTAAAAATTTTGAGAATTCTATGTTAACAAGTATCAACGAATTTGGAGACCGAAATATACCAGAGAGAAGAGATCGTGCACTTTCTAGTGCTATTGAGAATTACCGTTTACATACAGCACAATAGAAGGTGCTCAAAACGGTCTCAAAACCAAGGAATGAGGTGGCTTTCCGAATAAGTAAACGAAGTCCCCTCTGGCTTTCGCAAATTTTTACGATGTCTCCTTAGACCCAGAATACGTCGACTAAAAAAACCTATTTTCAGACCGCAAAAACGAAACCCCCCCCCCTTGCTTTTTGTCCCAAGAAAGGATATCCACTTGCTTATAAGCCACCTGTGCTGAGCCCTGCTAAAATTTTTCAGAACGTCTAACAAGTAGATCCGATTTTTGCCTTAGTTTTACGACCTAATCTGTCCATTTAGGAAAAAAGTACTGATCATACTGTCTCCATCAATAGTTACGACCTTCGAAGCTATTTATCTGACTTTCTGACTTCGTTCGAAAAACAATTTTGTCATATGCATTATGAAATGTAGATACAAAACACAATATAAAATTATGTTTGTAAATCATTTGATGGTTTGACCATTTTCTCAAAAGCAAAAACAATTTTTGTTGCGAAACTTACGCCTAAACCTAGTAGGAGGAACAAATTTTACACGAGTTTCACATAACTGAAAAAAAATAAAAGTAGAAATAGTCAAACGAGGCGAACACATCCCTCATTTTTAACTCCATAACTACCTTTATAAGGGCAACAGTCACGCGCACCAGATTATACTCTACAATTTTGCAATCCTGAAACTGGGGAATCTTTCGACGATTTTAGTGAATTTAGGCTGGCTCAAAGTTGTTAGGTGCAGTAAGATTCTCTTGTCTTATGACTTTCTAAAAGATCGTACGAGTACAAATATTTGTTGTCATAAGATTTTAAAAAGGTTGAAATTATTGAAAAAGAGCTCGGTGAATATTGAAGAGATGTGTGCAAGAGGAACTTTTGTTTGAATAAAATAGCAAGTTATAAAAAGTCGTTCAATTAATTTTACATCAAAAAATGACAGTTCTTTCTTCAAAAAGTTGAGCCAATCTATTTCAGTTGAAGTTATTTTAATAAAAAATCCCAGATGATTCAGGTTTTTAATGCTCAAAATTTTAAAAGGCTATGTACACAGACTGGCAACAATGCCTAATTTGTTGAAGTCTTTTTGTCTATTGACTACAATACCAGAAGGCATTCTTTAATTTCTTTGATTGGACTTTCGCGCGTATGAACCTAAGCCACAACGATGGAACCACGACAATACAGAAAAAGAGCACTTTTACATCTCGATGCATTGTCAATGAACTGGCAAGGATGGATGATTATGCGTGAAGGGAACGTGATGTCAGCCATGCTAGGGTCAAAATGATGCGAGGAAACAATGCAAGCAAGAGCCATAGAATTATATGAGCAAACATTGACTTTTCTAGGTTATTTAGAACTCCAGATCCATAAAAAAACTAATTTCTGTGCCTATTTGAGCTCCAAAGACATATCCCTTTCGCCATATTGTCTATTAGGTTGGCACAAAAATTTTATTGCAAGTTTTTTTTTTCAAAAAAAGTGACTCTCATTCGACTTGCATGATTCTGATTTTATTTGAACCAATGAAACATGTGCTTTGTTCGGGCATCCAAGAGACCCTCTTCTAGAACAAATCTCACACGTCGAAGCTGAAGGAAAAAATTGATCAAGTTCGGATTTTTGGGTCGCCAGATATTTGAAACGATGCAATAAATTCAACAATTAATGGTACAAATTTTACAAACCATGAAACCTTTGATTTAACTGGCTTGGCGGCTGGGGGGAGGGGGGGGGGGGGGGGGGGGCTTTGTGACCTAAAAGGCCGCTCGCACCCGCCACGCAGTCTGCGTCTCCCCGCGGGCGTGCTCCTTGATCATTAACTAGCCTGAATTAGGTCACGCAGCCCCACCTTCCAGCCGCCAAGCCAATTGAATCAAAGAGTAAGCAACTTTGTTTCGTCAAAGATCCCAGTTCAAGGTATTTAAAATACTGCGAAATTAGAAATATATGAAAAATATCATGAAGTTCAGAAATGTCATAAGTTGGTCATCTACTCTATACAATTAGAAGAGCTAGGAAACAATTCAGTACTTTCTGAGAATTTTCAAATTAGTGTGACGAAATTCTTTATTTAATCAATAAAAAATTTTATACGGCGACTGTCGGTCACAACACAGTACTCGCATTGAAAACCACAATGGTGGTTTTTTAGAGTTTCGTGAAAACAGTTAGATGGAGTGTTTTGACTTCTACGCATTTGTACTGCGTTTTTAAAGTTCTTTAAGAAAACAAAATTAGCGCTTCTTATGCCCACATTCTTCCCATCTCTTCGAATAAAAATTATCGTAATAAATTTCTTCTCGCTTGCCCTATGAATGGGCTCCAACACATTCACCGATATGTGTCAGCAATTTGGCAAAAGAATGGGCTAAAGAATGCATAGCCATACACGCAATTTGATTAATTCTCAGGCTGAGAATTTGTTTGAAGAGTCATCGTGACCATAACATCAATCAGTGTAAAATTGACAGAAGGTTTGCTGACGAAAAAGTATTTGATTAACATCTTCTTATAATGTGGAAAGAGCTTTTTTCGCAAGTACAAGTTTAAAAAATAAGCCAAATAAGAGCACGCAAATTATATCCTATAGTGAACCTTCATTTGTTATATCTTTGCGAAGTGAGGCAACTACCCAGACTACTGGAGTCCGCTCAGTCTAAGCTTGTCAAAGTTCAAAGCCATGAAGAAAACTTTGCCGCAATTCGTGAACATCTCGCAAACAGCTCTTCCAGAGGACCTTGGAAGAGGAAACGATGAGAATTTGTGAAAAAAAATCATACATAACTCAAACAGAACTCGAGAGTGACTTCCAAATGTTGCACAATGAGTCCTCCTCACAAAACTTATGAAAACGAATAATTTTGACAATCAAGCTTTTTGATAAGCAGAATATTTGGGATTCTATGAACGGGTCCTCTGTAACCACCCACCCAAGACTTCCGTTCAGGGGGAAGGTGGAAGTGCGACAAGAATATTTTATGATGGGGTGCGTCACTGCGATGTATGTTTTCTAAAATTTTCGCGGTACCATAACCTTGAAAAATTTTCTAGAAGTCTAAAAGAAATTTAAAAAATTCTAGTTTTTACTTCAACCAATAGTACAAACAAGTCACTTGCACATTTTTATAACTCATATAAGTAACTTCCAGAAATTTCGCGACCCATTCTCGGGAGGGACCCGAGGTACGCCACTACTCTTTAAGAATTTAACAACACAAGTAAGTTTTTGTCTAACAATAATACAGTACTTTACTTCCCCCTTCCCCTCCCCTTTGGAAATAAAAATTCCAATCCGCTCGATTTCGAACTACAAAACCAATCACACTACTGACAACTTTGCAGGCAGATATTGTACACTTTTGACCTCGTACATGCTATATTGTTTTCAGCAAATCACATGTATGTTGAGCCAAATGTACCAGTGAAAAATGCTTTCAGAGTTTTGAATGTTAGGAGGGTGAATTTATGGCTAAGTCGCATTTAGCACAAATATTGTAATCAACTCTGGCACGTCTACTAGAAAAAATTGATGCGATTTAGTTAGAAAAAGGAAGTAGAAGATCTATAAGATTTGTTGTTGATTGAACATTCTTACATTACAGCCGTGTTTGCTCATTCTGTTTACTCCAAAACTAATTTCATGGTTTGCTGCAAAAAGGAAGCACATGGCAATTCTCAACTATTTTAGTAACGAGCAGCCAGCAACATGCAGATTATTTATGGCAAACTTGTTCAAGTTCTGAAACTGACCGTAAGCCTTGGAGAACGGTCCCGTGGAGCTGGCATGGTGCTCATTCCTGGAGTTTATTAGATTCGTCGAATTTCTTGCACTGCTCGATTTTTGCAGCGTTGGGCAAGGTTTTCAAACTGAAAATTTATTTTAGTAAGAAGCCATAATCGAAAGTAACGTACGATAAGAACAAGCCACGAGTCTATAGCAATAAGGTGACAGCACTTTTTTCATATTGTATAAAAGAAAAAGACGATGGATACCGTACAAGACCAAGAAAAATCTTTCAACATCATAAGTACTCGGATTTAAGTTGGCGAATAAGTTCGTACCATTTAGGTTTTTTTTGTAATCCTACAACCAGTGCTTGTTGTCTAGCGTAGTGATTTTAGATGAAAACAAAAATGTGACAAGCCCATTGTCAAAGAATTTGTTCCGAAATTATTCGATCTTAAAAATAGATTAGCCAGAAAACAAAAGTCAGCATTTTCGCCAATTATGTTTTATTCTGTAGTTTCAGTAGGGGCAGAAGCTGTCGAAAGCTGCTCAGTACATTTATGACGTCCATAAACTAGGTGTCATGGGCAAACATCACAAGAAAATGGTGCACAAAAAAAACAAAAATGGCCACTTCAGTTTCAATGGCACGCCTCTCACCGGAAATGCTTGTTCGTCAAGCAAAAAAGGATAGCCATTGTTACACAGGAGTGAGGTAAGAGTAAAAGAAACAGTATTAATGTACAGGCACATACAGTAGGTGCATATAACATTTAATAGCAATGAAGCGAAATCGAATTTTTTGCATTGTTAAAACGCAAGCATCAAGACTGCTTGTACAATAGGAATAAATGAACGTATGAATGGGTGAACGGTAGGATAATTGAATGAACGAACGAATGAATGATTGGATGAATGATTGAATTCTATTGTATTGCAGCCTGATATTTTCAGAATCAAATAAACTGAAAGTGTAAGGATATAAAAGCTAAAAAGCGCAAAAGTCATGAAGATATACTTCTCCATTAGCTAAAAAATAAGCAACAGATTATGTCAAAACGAATGCGTGAAAAAAGAAAAAACTTCAAAACGAAGTCAAAACGAACGAATGAAACTAAGTAATTTTAGTTAGAGATTAAAATACCGTTGGAGCCAAGGCGCTTACCCCAACAGCATTTCAGCTAAACGTGAGACCATCCCCCTGGTTTTTGAGAGGGAATTTTAAGCAGTTGACCTCAATATAGACACGCAACAAAACTTTTACACAGTCACAGAGTTGAAGAAAATTCGATACAATGTATCGAAAACCGGCCATTTGTGTACTTGCAGGTTCAGTTCTTTATCGAAACGGTACGAAATAAATGAATGACTTCCGTTGTCAGGCTCGGTGCAGTGCAAAGTGCTTATAAAATCTGCGCATTGTAGGACTTCTGCAAAATGCCTCTGCTAGTCTCTAATTGGTAGTGTCGCGATTCTTGGAATCAGCGTCATGATGAGTGCTGGCGTTTGAAACTGATGAGCAATCCGAAATGACGGGAAGTATTAGGTGGTTCGTAAGTCTTGCACCAAATTAAAAATCGTAATAACCACTTTGAACGAATTGCTAGATTGAGTATAGCATAGAAAGAAAAGAATCATGCATTTTCTGATTGTGCTTCAAGCAAAGAGATGCATTGGTTCATCGCGGAACTACAAGGCGTTGGAATAAAAATCGTTAAAATTCTTCAGAAAAGCTCAGGAAGATTCAACACCAGTCAAGTTATTACAGCAATGGAATGCGCCATCTCAAATAGTGATTGTCTTGCTAAGATGAGATTTGAAATGGGTGACCGTGGCCATTTGGAATGCGATATACACTGTAAGTTGCACCTCGAAACGCTGATTCTCAATCTGTGCTCGATATCTGCGAAATGATCTAGTGAAAGAAGCTTGAATATTTTTAGCAGAAATTTGCGTACTTTTGGGTAGTTAAAATCACCAAATTTGTTCTAGGTTGCCGTTTAAAGCTATTGAAGAGAATCTTAGGAGGAATATTGATGTATCATACCCATCTAAATCATTTTCAGCATTTGGAAAGGAAAGAAAATTTTTTATTGATGATTTTGACCCTCCGCAGTAGCTCAATTTATTCATGCAAAAATAATCATAACTTCGTCCAGGTTATCGTTTCGCAGATACGGAAGACAGTATTCGAACCAACATTGAAAGGCGCATTTTTTCATATACAAATCATTACGAATGGCTACGGTCACCAAGTATCCTTCCCTTGTAAGATCTATAGTCAAGCGGTACAGATTAGAGAAATGATTCTGCGCTTCTCGTCATAAAGCCACCACAACAAAATTGAGCAAATTGTCAAGAAACCTAAAGGAATAAACTTTTAAGGCTTTCAAGTTCCAGTAAGCCAAAGGGATAAGTTCCTGGGAGGGGAGAATTACTGAAATATGGGTTCTGCATGAAGAGCTTCTTGGGCATACTGCGGATAAAATACTAAAGAGATACTGTAACTGCATTACAAATTGATAATCGGTGTGATGTCCAATTACGTAGCAGTCAAATTTGATCAGTGTTCAGAAAAATTCGAAAACACTACCGAACAAACGTGCATACAACCACAAATTTTAGAATCAGAAAAAACATCTTTTGTATTATAGAAATCGGACATTACGAAAGGTTAAAGTAGAGAAGAGATCTGAAGAAATGTGAAAACGTCAACTGCTCTGCAAATTCTCCAACCAGTGTAAATTACAGCATCAAAAAGACTTATGAAAAGTATGATAGATGACCATGGATGTGAAAAAAAGCATTGATGTTTTGCGATGTGTTTCCGGATGTCAAGTCGATTCAACATCACTTGCTTTGGTACATGTGACAATAACACGACGATTGTCTTCTTTGATAGTCAACACCGAAAGGTACGATGTAATCGTCTCGTATCAGGACGGGGTCGAGGGAGGGGAGGGGGGAACGCAGAGAGAAAAAGGTAAGAGAGTGAAAATCGAAACAGCGACCGGAAGGGGAGCCGAATCATTGCGAGTGTGTAAAGACATGATTTGCGATCTGACTGTTTGAGAGAGACGTGATTAGTTCAAGAGCGGCAATTTGCAAAGCACGGGGGGGGGGGGGGGGGGGAGGGTTAAAAAATAAAGGATGAGGGCGCATCTTTTTTGGAGATCCAGCTTTGAAGGGGGGAGGGAAGAAAGGTGGCGTATAGTTCATGTTACGCCTTTACATCCTATTTCTATTTTTACCAGAAAGGCTTTTCAAAACTTCGAACATTGTTCGTAAGTCTTCGTATCAACTTCTAATCGATGCAAATAAGAAGTAGAATTACCAAAAATTTCAGAAATTCTTTCGACTATTTTTCATTTTTCGTTCAGTGACCTAAAGTCATCAGATTACTGAGCGGGGGAGACAATCAGAAATGGTTTTTCAAAAGATTGCAAATGTGTAAAGCACAAGTGAAAGCAGAAAGAAATCTATAAGAGGAAAATTTTTAGCATGTTCGCAAGAAGATTTTCAAGAAACTTCTGTAATTTTTCAGAAGGGGAAAAATGTAACAGAAGTTATTCGCCAAGTTCATATTGTACTTATATGCATGAATCGACAAAATCGAGTGAGGCAGAGAACTCGTCCACGTGAAGATAATGAAATTGTTAGCAATCCACAACAGACTTAGTCCGAGCAGAACTCGACTACGTTTGTCCGCTATGGTCGTTTTCGTCGTCATTCGTCATCGTTTCGAAGCGTCGTGACCGATTGATGTCTAGTAGTAAAACAAGAGAGTTATGGGTTATGAAGGTGCGCAGAAGAATAACGAATCAGCTAGGATTAGAGAAAGAGATTTCACGGCACAGAATATTGAAATAAGAAGATTTTGTGGACATTTTCCAAATAATTATGATAAGAATCAGAAACAATTATAATAAAGAAAATCTGTACTGCACTAGCTTTGAAAAAATCAGAAGTTAGTCTTTCAACAGCTTTGATGAAGTAACATTAACACCAACTTGCTATTTCTTGATAGGAAAACTACTTCCTTCTCCTATATGTGACTGTACTCTGTGAGACAAAAGTACCAAATTTATTTTCTTTTTTTGCTACAATTTTTCTGCACATCAAATACGGCCCAGACAACAGCCCGCACACTGCAACTGTAGAACAGCAAGAATTTTTAGTTTCCGGAATTCTCTTCAAAAGGTGAAATATTTGCCCATAAACGTCAAGCCTGATTCTATATTTGTCAAAACTTTCAAAAGTAGAGTACTCCAAAATCCCATAGATAAGAGCGGTTTAATTTACCGATGAAAAATGAATAGGAATGAATAGAAATTGAATGCAGTCACCCCTCTAACTTGATGGATGGATAAATATTTGGAGAAGAAGTTTAGAAGAAGCTCCGCCCCTCAACTCTAAACCACGCCCACTCAAAACAATTCATATAGAAAAACAGCGATTTTAACGGAATTTCGGAATTTCTGTATGAATTGTTTATTAAGTGGGCGGGGTTTAGAGTTGAGGGGCGGAGCTTCTTCTAAATTTCTTCTCCGATTTTTGTTTATCCATCCATCAAGTTAGAGGGGTGACTGCATTCAATTTCAATTCATTCCAATTCATTTTTCACCGGTAAATTAAATCGCTCTTATCTATGGGATTTTAGGGTAAATATTATGCCCTATTTCTCTTGCACTATCTCTCTAGCAGATATTTCGAATTACCAAGCATAGATACATACGCATCCCTCACTCACATACTGAGTGAGAGTTTTCTAAACTTGACAGCGAAATTAGAGATTATTTATCTAGAAAATCAGAACATTCTCGGAAAGCAAAAAACGAAGAGCGGAAACAAGTAAGTAGAAAGAGAAGATCAAAAATAATGAAGAGTAGAATCTCGGCCTTCAATGTCGAGAAAGAAAAAAGAGTATATGGAAAAAATCTTGGAAAAAGGTTTCCTTTTATGACAACCTACATATTATCACCGACATATTTATCACGGACGCGCTTGGTCATGGTGTCAAAATTGTAGCCTTTTATGTTTTTTTTTGTAAGCCCCACTTTGTAATGTAACTAATTACCGCCTTTGCTATTTGCCTAAGGAAACCATGTCTTGCTTTTAAACATCAGACGAGAAGTCAAGTTT